CACCATAAAGACGGTCAACCCGCTGAAAACTCAATAGCATGTGCCGCATGTTCTCAACAGTACACCATGCATCAAACTCAGGCCACCAATACTTGGACAGAAGAGCGGCTTGCTCTTCCATGACTATGTGAAGCCTCCGCTGGAGTCTCAGCGGTACAGGCCTACGTGGGAGCATCAAGTCTCCAACCAAGCGCCTCAAACCACACCAATAGTTAAGGTCACTCGAATCCCATTTGTTGTGGGCAGGCTTGGCTTCCAGATGCGGTCTGGTCCCATATTCAAGGAGAGTACCTCGCCCTTTTGCCACAGGTTCAACAGCCACGTCTAACAAGTAGGCCTCGGCCTGTCTTGACCACCTCGCAAACTCTTCAGTGATACTTTGTTGCTCGCGCGTTTTGGCCAGGCACCCAAGAATCTGAAAGCTTCCATCGGTGGTTCCAAAATGTTCCCAAGGCCTTCTGGGGCCAAATGCGCCAGGGACAGGGTCAATGCTGTTGAGGGCAGGCACCATGGCCTGCTGCCATCGACCTTTGAGTGACACCTGCAGGCCATAGTGCGGCCGAAAAGGCACCATGTGATCAACAGCAACTTCAACACAACCCTGCAAAATCTTGCTCACAATCAAGTAATCCAACTCACTTCCAGTGGCTATGGTTGGCATTTTCACGTCAACGATAACGCCGTGGAATTTGCGAGCAAAACCGGATTCAAACAAAACCTGCGGGGCCAGGTTGAAATCAGCGGCTATCACCCACGGGCATGTCACGCTGTGCACCGCCGCAAGCAATTCACGCATGAGTTCGTAGTTTTCCTCTTGGTACAAGCCGCCATCTTTGAAGTAAGCCACAAGCAGCAACAGGTCGCACCCTTTCCTCCGGATGAAGATGCTGTTCCATCTCGGGTGCACCCTTTGAAACTCATCAACCGGATTTAAGTGCTTGCGGGCAACCGCAAAGACGCCAGCCCGTGTCCCACCAGCTTCACTAGGTGCAGCTGGTGAGTGGCTACCTTTCCATCCCGACTCAACACACTGCTGTTTCAGAAGGTCGAGATTACTGCCGACTTGGTGGTGCTCAGCAACCAAGAGGCACTGTACGTCTTGTTCCAACAAGAAATTCCGCGCAGCACTACTCCAACTCGTTATGTTCGCAAACAAAAGGGTCAGATCTCTGGCGGCCTCACTACAGCTGTTCACCGGATCAGCGAGGTCACCCTTCCGGTCAGTGCCCAGGGCGGTCAGAATGCCACACGGCTGCAGCTGCTCCACAGCTGAGTTGTGCTGACATTGCGCCGCGCTGCTAGGTTGACATTGCACGCCGCCCGCAGCTGCTCCAACAGGCCAGTGATGGCTCCATCAGCAGTTGCATGCACAAGTCCTGTATGTTCTGTCTACAGGCCACACCTAGCAAGCCACGCCCAAGCTGCCACGCTAGCGAAAACTGCAACCAAAAATTGGCGGGTGAGATCTGGCACCGCGTGATGTCCTCACGATCGGTCCCTTTGCTACCCAAACCGCAGCCCTGCCAAGTCCTCATATGCATCGGGGTCCCAGTTGGCCTGTGGCACCGCCTGAACCTTCCTTCGCTTGTGCTGCAAGTCTGCGTGGGCACACTTCCGTAGCAGGGACTCAAGCATCTGTTTCTGCTCGTCAGTCTGCAAGGCTCCTTGCAACGCTTTGATGTTGTCCTGCATCTCACTGTCAATGCCCATGTCGCCTTCGTCCTCCATTGGACCTGCTCCATACGGCTCCAGCTGTCTGGCGACAATCTGGTCCGACTACTGCTTGGCCAACCGGTCCATTTCCACCTGCGCCTGCAGCTGCCGCTCATGGTTCTGGAGCGCAGCCCTGGCCTGGGTAACCCGGTGTTCCCCCTGTAGCATTCGCTGGCCGAGTGCCCGCAGTACTCCTGCTTGGGTCTTAAAGTCTTGGCAGTCATTGTTGGGATCCCCCCGCTGCGGGCGCAACAATTGCTGCAAAGGTGCCAACGCCTGCTTAACTTCATCTGCCCGATCTCCTTCCTCCGCCACTTGCCGCACTGCTCCAAGCACATCCTCGAGCAGTTTTCGCAAGTCCTCTGGGACGGCACCTTGTGGGTTTGGCACTGTCGGGTAACTCTCCCTACCAGCCCAACCCCATCGACCATGCTCCTGCCATGATTCTTCCCCTCGGTTCCAATCTGACTGCAGGTGGAGGTCGTGCCTACCACGCCACGCTTGCCTATCACGCTGTCGATGGCCGCCCCTCTGCTTCCATCCAATCCGCTTTCCGCCCATGAAGGGCTGGCCACATTGACAGTACGGATGTGTGGGCAACCGATCAGCGAACAACCAAGAGTGACAATAAGAGCAAACCACATAACTACGGTTCGACATTGCAGGCTCCTAATGGCTAGCTTTCCCGACTTGGGCATCACAGCTCTCTTTTACATTGCGCCAGGTTGTTTCACCCATTGCGCCGATGCAAGAGAAACGGCAGTCTCTTGCGGCCTTGTAGATTCTGGGTTGAGAACAGACGGAACAAGAAGGCATACCACGTACCAAAACCAGGGTTCAAGCATCAAGCTTCCGCAGGATGAGCAACAACAGCCTCAGATTTGCATACATGGAGTTGGTGTTAACGAAGACTGGAGAACAGTCAACGAGCTGCCTTGTGGCTTTTGCCAAGCGCGACATGCCTGGACCCGCCTTCTGTGGAAGTCTCACTTCGCTGCATTCCACGCCTCTTTTGAACATGCCTCGTGTGAAGTTTTGGGTTTGCCTGCCGCATTTCCTTCTAGGATCGATGAACCGCACGACATGAGCACACGTCTCTAAGCTCCGAACTCCACATCCTTGAACGAGTCTGCGCATTCGGACAAGATAATGCAACCATAGTTTTGCTCCGGTCGTTTTCGAGATTGCAAGAATCAATGCCGGAAAGACAGCAGTGTTTGCTCACTTGCAGGTCACGGGAGTTTTATTCAAGTGAGCCTGCTCTTCGGATGTAGCGGCTTGTCTACTGAACTGCCAGGCTTAGCAACTGCTGCTGCGATCTCAAAGACAAGAAGCAATCCTGGTGGCTGGTGTTTTTGGGTTCTCATGGCTTCCACTGCAATCTGTTTCTGAAACTTCGTCGCCTGCGTGTACCGAAATAGAGCCCCAAGTGCCGGAATGGTGCTGGAAACCACCGGGCTGCTGTCTGCAGCGCTTGCAAGAATGTCAGCAGAGCACCTGGCATCATAGGACTAGATCTAAGTTTTGTGCATTTTCCAGCTTCGGAAGCCACCAGTCATATTGATGCATGCAGTGTCGATAGAAGCACCTAGCACAGGTTCGTAAACACCGCACATCTGTTTGGAAATGGCCACAATTTTTCGATAGTGATGCTGTTCGCGTCAAGACCATCGTGCGCCACATGTTGGCTCCTGGGCACCACGGAGCTGTGACGGCTTCAGGTTTGATGCTGTGTTGTGTTGGGTAGTGGTGTAGCACATACTGGTAAGAGTACTCATCCATACATGCTCGAGCCGCTATCATGCTATGATGCAGTCGCAGGCAACAGCAGCCCAACAGGTCCGTGCACGAGGCCGTGTCAAATTACACGTTTGTAGTAGCCAACGCATTTATAGATTTTGGTTGTGGTGTAGGTCAGCTTTACGTCTAACACAACTGGAACATGTTGTAGTGTAATGCTTCCCTCGTACGACCAGCGATGGCGATCGGAACAGATTCTTGGCTGCAAGTTCGGGTTGCTTTGACCGGACAACATCTGGGCTCACCAGACCCGAGTTTAACAACATAGTTCATGATAGACACTTTTGGCTTCTTGTCCCACGTCCCAGACATTTCATCGAACGTACTGCCGTTTGGTGCCTTGCTTTCCCGGTCAGATTTCATCGTCTGCATTGCGCTTCGCTGCAGACGTCGGCTCTGGGACAGCTGATGAGGTGCTCTGCTGCACTGCAGCATGAGGCAGCAACAATTTTCAGCGCATCAGCCTTGATGCAGGCTGCCGGTTCATTTCGAGCACGAGGTGGCTACCCAATCAGTCAGCCGCGGGCTCAATCGTTTGTTTCGGCGTCGCGATGGCAAGGCCAGTGGACGGTGCGAGAGCGTGGTCGGAAATGGCAGCGAAGTGTGCACAAGGCCAGCCGAGGATGAACCGATCCCTGGCTTTTCGGACGAGCTGCCCTTCAGCAGGAGAGCCTGCAGATGGCATTCTGCTAAGATGTTACGGAAAACAAGACTCGACGCCGCAATGCAGGACAGATTCAGGCGATGCGCCGAGCTGGCAGGTCCTGGACACATGGCAGCCGAATGATGCAATGTTTGCGAGACTGGGCTGCAGATTGTGCTGACCGTGCTGCGAGTTGGCCCAGGAAGTGGACTCGGAATCCGAAGGGGAGTCGGAGACCCTCAAGTCCATCAGCGCTGCTGGTCTTCTTTCATCCGCTGTCTCCATGTTTACTCAAAATCTCTCTCTGCATTCCATCCCGACAGTGGTCCCGTTGAGGCTGAGAGACCGGCCGAAGGCTCGAAGACATCGAGCAAGGCCAGCACATTGCATTTAAGCTGAGAGTTCTCTTCAGTGTCAAGTTGAGCTTCTAGACGAGTCATCGAGTACAGCCACGCATGCAAGATTGCGAGGGGGCGGCAAACCGAGTGCAGTGAGTGCAGTGTGAACCATTATGTGTGTGCGTGTGTGGGGGTTCGTTGCAGCGTAGAAATACACTTTATGTCTACCGATGATTACCGACGATCGGAAGGGGCCTCAGTTGCCGTTCAGCTTAATCATCCATTGTCAGGGCCGACCACGACGCAGAAAAGAGTTCTTCGATCATCTCTTGTGCCTTGGCACGATGGTCAGTTGTTTCTGCTAGCGATGAGCATAAGAGACTGGTTTAAACTTGCGGGGTGGATCAGGTCGTTTCCGGCAGCACTGAGCCACCTCACCTTTCGACATGACTTTGCGGCAGCTGTGCTGGGACAGGGTGCAGGACGCCTGTTCTGAATCCCTGCGAATCCACTTTCGAGCATAGAACCTGCAGGGACACTGCGAGGCCGAGTGGAGGCACACACTGTTTGTGTTGCCTTGCCGCAATTTCGCAAGAAACGTGCGAGAGGTTCTTCGCGGAGGAGTTCTGAAGAGGCGTCGTGCGATCTCCAAGAAAATCACTTTCAGACATGAGTCCACGATTGCAGGCCACGCTATGGCCTCTATGTGCGCCTGGCACAGGATGGAGGAGCTTCTGACGAGGCATTGTTCGTCGATGTGAATCAGCTATGTGGATAGACATACTTGGCATTCCTGTGGGATTGTGCGAATCCAAGGAGAAGTGATTCGACGCTCTCTAGAAGTCTTCCATGCTCTTATATTTTGACTCATGTTGAGGTGATGCTGATGGCAGCAGAACGCCAGCAGCAACGGACCCTCGGGCCGTACTACGTCATCTCTGCAAATGCTTCTCGGCTCATTGCGATGCAGAGCCCGCCATCCTGTCAAGCTGCAATCTGAGGCTCTGGACTTTGATCGGGAGTCGCCTTGCTTCCTCGGTCGGCTGGCAGGACGCTTCGCGGTTGCCATGCCAAAGCGGCTTTGGCATTACACTGATGGCAGGCATGGGCCACCTGATTGAAGGTAGGACGGTGCAACGCACGTCAGGAAATGCAATGTGCACCCAGTACCTCCTTCACGGGCAGCTGCTTGGCGAATGCTAGATTCCCCATTTTGTCTTTCCGCTTCGCCGTCTTTTCCACCGCACAGTCAGCTTGCTTCAAGTTCCAGTGCAAGCTGGCGTGTTGACGTGAGGGCTTGGAACAGCATTTCCAGCGTGTTTGTGTGCGGAAAGACAAGACAAGACAAGTGTTTTAGTTTTCAGGATCGTTTCCATGCTCTTCCGGAGGAACCAGACCTGAAAAAGGAAGGCACGGTACATTCAAGCTCAACAATCAGCAGCCCTCATACTGTTCCTCTAACACACGTGCTCTCTCATGGTTGCGCGGAGAGTTTTCATCTGGTAACGAGGGCAAGCAGATGCCTGTTTCTGGAAACTCACGTTTAGGTCCTGCCGACACGCCTGCTGGAGATATCGTGGAACCTTTGAACTCTGAGTACTGCATTTCTGCCGGAAGCACACGCAGGCAACTGTTGCTGTGACAGTACCAAACGTTTGGCTGTTGAAGCAGGTGGCTAGATGGCAAAGCACGTGCACGGTTGTATTTTCAAGCAGCAGTAGTTCAAGAGGTTCCTTTGACTTAGGAGAGCATCCGGTGCCTTGCGAGAGGACAGTGTGCCGTTTTGTCTGGCACTCATAGCCTGACCTGACTATACCTGACTCACAGTCATGAAGGAGCTCTGTGCAGTGCGCTTTCGAAAGCCCAGCGATGCTCCACGAAGCATGTGACGTGGCATCAACTTCTGCCATGTGGTGGGTGTGCTATGAGCCGCATGAGCCGAGGCACGTGGTCCTGCCGAGCAGTTCTTCGGCCGCCTCCTTCTCCACCCGGAGCGGCCAGGCCTGTCCGAAGTTGCGGTCAGAAGTCGGAGGCTGTTGGTCTCGGCTAGTTTGTTCCAGGAGGGCATGCTGCTCAACGCAGCAGGAGGCAGCGCCAGTCGTGAAAACGGGCCACCTGCCAGACAGATGACTACATATCAAGGTTCGGTCAGGCTCGAAATTATTTTTTGGTTCTATTCAATTTGCAGTTTTCGGACTGTCCCTGGCATTTTGCACCATCAACCTGCAAGGTGACGTTTGTGAATATGACAGGAGACTGAACGAACACGGTCGCCCAGTGACGTGCTAGCTGCTAGCTTCTTCACGAGAAGAGGCGACAGCTTTAGAGCATGTCGACAAGCAAGCGGGACGAGTTGGGGATGAGCATCATACGGATGGACAGCAACCGTTTATCTGTCGGCTACGGACATAGAGGCGTCAGTCGGCAGAGCCAGAGGAGCATGGAGGAGCTTCATGGACATAATCCATGTAGTTGGATGGTCGGAAGAACATGAGCCTATGACTGCCAACTCTACTCGAATTCTGTGAAGAGCTCACTTTTTTAGCCCGCGTCATGTGTTTGCGTCATGTGCCAGCTGGCCTAAGGCTCAACTACCTGGTCAGTCCGTCATCTACTTGGGATGCTGCGAGCTGCTCTGCAGATTGCGGAATTGCTGCAATCGCTGTGGTGGACTTTCTGTGGCTACTGTCCCAGCAGCATGTTGCATCCTTTCAAGGAAAGGTGTATCGCATGAACTTCCACGGACGTGTCCACGCCTCGTCCTCCAAGAACTTCCAGCTTGTTCAGGCAACTGTGTCAATCTTGCACCCTAAACTTTAAACCATGGGTGCTACATCGCTACCGCACCCTCAGCACATGGCACATGTCTGTGTGTCGTTTTGCCAGGCTGACAGCAGCTTCAAAGCTGAGCAGCCGGACGGGTTCGTCAAAACTGTCTCGCCAAATGCACGACCTATAAATTCCAAAGCACTGTATATTATATCTGCTGGGATGTGCGCACTCCACCGTTTTTGGTGTCGGTTTGCTTGAGACTCCTGTTCTTTCGCATGCGGGACGCCCATCGGTCATCGAATTTTTGAACAGAGAAATCGTAATCAGAATGAGTACCTCGGAAACCTGCAACATAGCAGGAGACCCGGGAGCACGTGACATCCCTCTTATTCCCGCCGCAAGGTGTAAGGGCTTGACAAAACGTCTCCTCCCAACTCGGTGGGGGGAAAAGCCCCGATGGGCGGGGTAGAAAAGCAGATTTGGGAACATTCAGGGTCGGGGGGTGGGAAACGTCCAGACAGGTCTTGCCTGTCTGTAGAAGAGCCAGGAGATAGGTTGGAATCTAACGGCACCTAACGGCACCTAACGGCGCAGGCATGGCTAAGCTAGAGATTTGGCTTAGCCCATCAGGAGAGTTTGGCAATGCAGTTCGGTCGCATCGACGACGCCAGTTTTGCGCTGGATGCGGCCTTTCCGTTGAGCCCCTTGCAGGCGCGAGGCTCACAGCGAACTTGTGAGATTTGTGAAGCTTCTCTTTTGGTCTCAGAGGCCTTTTCCATCGCCCTCTCCGTTTTCGACAATCGACTTTACGAAGCCTTGCGCATCTACTACTGACTTTGAAAGTCCCTCGGATTCAGGCATATCTGTGATCACACGCGAGAGTGCAGTCTCCGGAGGGTGTCTAGTTGGGCATACGTCTGGGAATGAAGCTGACAAATCGTAGCCTCCATTTTTCCACTCCGTGGGCACCAAAGGAGTGCTGACACTCTGTGAATGCAGAGGCACGGATGTTGCTTTCGAGGTGCGATAGGGGTACTTGAAACATGCACCTCATGCGAGTTTGTTGGAGCGCGCTTTCCCCCAACACCTGCGCTCCAGGAAGAGCTGGTACGGACGAAAGTCAGTCACCATACAACGACGTTCTAACGACTCGCGCTGTTGTGCTGGTCCCGCGGCGTAGGAAGGCGCTGTTGTTTTGAGGTGTCTCTGAATTCAAGGCGCTTGTCGTGTCCAGACATCATCTGGACTTCGCAAATCATGTCGCTAGCTATCCGCTCTTGGAGAGATTCTGCTGGAACTGGGAGCCGCAATATGCGGTGAGCAGTAGTCGATCGAAAAGAGGACACGGTCAGAATGGCTGCATGGCAGGTAACTAGGCCGCTTTGTCATGCTTCGCCCTTGTCTGTCAAGACTGGCCTTGCCTGCAATCCTAGCGCAAGTCCGGCATGGCCAATGTCCCCAAACGCACAAAGCGCTTCTTCCTCTTCCAGTCAAGATCATGTCAAGTCTCGAAGGACTAGTGTTTCTGACCATGGCTAGCAGTGCGGAGATTCGTGATCTGGTACCTGATAGTCGAAGCATGCGGAATCCCGAACAAGAGTGAGCAAGTGATGAGACGAAATGCACCACTTCGCTCGGTCGCTGGTTCCGGCTGGTGTGAGGCCTTGCTGCGACATGCGATCCCTGCGTCATGTGCCTTTCCATGGCTTTCCCTGTGTCTTGAGGCACTTGCTTCCACGAGCTCCAAAGCGGGTTGTGATTGTTGGAGGTGGCCCAACAGGGCTCTTCTGCGCCGACCGCTTGAGGCATCACTTCCAGGCAAGCTGCCCAAGATAACCTCATCTCACTGCATTTTGGCACCTGTGGCGAAGGTGACGGTGGTGGACTCCAAAGAGTTTTTCGAGTTCACACCTAGTATCTTGCGTGCCCTCGCCGACCCCCCGCACCTGTCCAGGACGTGTCGGCTTTCGTTTGGATGTGTCAAGCCAAGCCTCCCAAGGCATGCATCTGGCCATGTGGCACCTGCCAGGATCACCTTCGACTACCGAGAGGCTCCCTCTCCCTCTCGTGCACTTCGGCTTCGGCTACACTCTGCAATCTGCAACCTCTGCGAGGTCCTCGAGGGACAGCTCGGGGTCGAGTTCGTGTTGGGCCAGGCTGTGGCGCGTCGCTTTCGCTGTGCCCCACGGAAATTCCACCCGAAGAGGCGACGAAAATCGACGTGCCCTCGAGGTTTGCCGGCTCAGGCCTGGCTAGTCGTAGCCGGAGTAGAAGAGTGTGGCGGCAGTTACCACTACTCGGGACGACTAAGCCACACAGCCTCCGAACGATCAGGCGGGTCAGCCAGCGGCAGTGGTACTATCGCAACGAATGGCTTCAGCCTGAGTTGGCGGTTGCAGCGAGTGCCGGTGAATGCCGAATTCTAGAAGGTCGCGGCAGCCTGACTGTGGCAGCAGCCTCAATCATGATTTTCTGCTCACGTTTAGTCATAAGTTTGTCCAGGAACCGACCGTGGGCAGCGTTCGAGAGGAGACAAGGTGCTTCGAGATTGGAACGTGAATAGACACGTACACGGTCTCAGGCATGTCCTTTGCTGACTTTTGAGAGTAGCGTAACTTCCCTGAAACGGGAAGCACGGATGACAGGATGAGCTTCGACTATTGCGTGGTTGCTGTTGGCGTCGCCAATGGACTGTGGAAACCGCGTTCACTGGAAGATCTTTCTGGGGTCAGCGCCTGTGACTTCACACCATGATAGAGCACTCCCACGGCTCTTTGCAAAGATGCAATCTGCAAATTGCTTGTTGCAGCCCACAGCGGCCTCCTCTTCTTCCACCATTTCTACCGCAAGGCCAGGTGGTAAGCCACGGCGACCTTCACATGAAAGTGCTGCACGGAAGGCCGACAAACCACAAGCCTGCACAGCCCGCTGTGCCTGTGCCATCTCCTGGTGGTTCGGCTTTGGATGAGAGGCGCTTGGACGTCGGGGTCTTGGGCCCCAGGCAAGCTGAAAGGTCCAATGCATAAGACAAAAGGATGCAGAGCGAATGCCTGCTTCTCTTCCAGGGCCGCCGGCGAAATCTGCAGCTCTTGCACGAAAAGCTGGCAAATGCGCCTGGCGCGGTGGTGGTCGGAGCTGGACTGGTAGGTACGAAGGCACAGTGCACCTCGGCTTCGGGGAGCTGTGCAAAACAAGGTGTCGAGCTCGCTGCAGAGCTGGCTCATTTTTTCCCGCGACTCAAGGCACATTTGGTGCAGACGTGTAAAGCTCTGCTGCTCAGTAGCTTTGCACATCAATGCCGATCCATGGTCAGGTGACTTTGGTGGATGGCCCGGACACACAGCATCTGTTCAGATCTGCAGAGACTGGTTCAAGGCTCTGCCCAGATCAGTGAACAGGTGCAGCCCACGTCTTGCCGCAGCTGGCAGATCCGGCGCGGGACTACACCATGGAGTTCTTCGCGAAGCATGTGCCCCGCCCTAGCGGAGGGAATCCGAAGGCGGCTTTGGCTTTCTGTGGCCTCTCCTCCCTCGCGCCAGGGCGTGAAGCTCCGCCTTGGCCAGCCCTTCGTGCCCGAGTTGGTTTCGGAAGGCGCTGCTTCTGTTGCGCTGCTTGCTGAGCCTCGCTCTGTCTTTCCGGAGGCGAGGTAGTGCTCTGGTGTGTTGGTACGAAGCCGCGAGCTTCAGAGCTCTTCGTGGACCGATCGGTTCTTTCCTTAGAGCCTGAGAGTCCCTTTGTGAGAGAGGAACACGGGCCGGGAACAGCCTTCACCGGGACAGATTTCGGCTACTTGTAGGAGGCAAGGTTTGTCCTTTCGGAACGGCCGCAACAGCAAACGAGAAAGGGTCACTGCTGGGAATGATTGGAGCCGATCTGTCGTGTGCATCCGCCTCTAGTTCAAGGTGCTGCGCAGCAATGGCCAGATCCGAGTCAACAAGCGGATGCAGGCCAGGCCGCCAGCGTGATGCAGAATGCAGTGGCTCTGTTTGGTGATGATGTTGATTTCCGATCTGCCGGCAATGCAGGTTCTCGGCAGCAGCCACATGGGTCTGACCAGCGTCGAAGAACTGAATCATGGTGGGCGTCTTGGATCCTCACTTCACGCCTCTGACGGCACTCGCCACTCTTGCCAATTGTCAATCATGTTTCTTCAGCAGAAGAAGTTGAGCTTCGCTTCAGATCAGACATGCCCGGCGTATTCCGGTTAGCTGGTTAGCCTTCCAAGACTTGGCCTCCTCCTGCACAGCAGGCGTGGTTTTGCAGCCGCTTGGTCAAGGACAAATCTTTGCAATCGGCGATGCAGCATCCGTGGAGGCTATTTGTGGGAGGGAAGTTCCCCAGCCAAGTGTTCTTGCTCGACTTGCAGGGCGTGCCTCTGGCCCAGATGATTTTTCACGGGGAGGACATCTGCACAGTGCAAATGTTCCAAGTCATGGTTCATTGATCCGATTTGCAAGTGTTCCAGGAGATGGCTTCTATTGCCGTTGCAAACATTGAGGTGGTGTCTTGTTCCTTGTCTCTCCTCGCATCTGAACGGTTACTTTGCCGTTTAGATCTGCCGCAAGGCTGCCGAGAATGTTGCTTCGCCGATCGCCCTTGGTGGTGCCAAGAAGGAGGCGGAGGCCAATTTGCAAGCGCTCCTTCGGCAGAAAGAGACTCATTTTCTCCTTTTCGCCGGAAGGTTGGCCAGCCGCTGTTGGCGTGCACTTCTCTTGGGCCTCAGGACTGCCAGTGAGCCTCTCTCGCATCTGCCCAGAGAACGAAGTGACGTAGTGTCGTAGAGTCTACAGGACGGCATGTTTTCGACACAAAGTGAGCTGGTGGCTTTCCCTGTGCCTGCTGGCCATGACGGTCTTAGGGGTGTCCATGTAGTGTTGGCAGCGCAGAGGTGGCTACAGGGGCACTGGCGGCCATCCAGAAGCAAGTCATCGAGGCTTGGTGCGCCCACGGAAACCTCCGGAGAGTTTGCCGAGCATGGCAGGCGACGAAGATGGGCGCCTTGCAAGGAGATCCCTTGAGCTCTCTGTTATGGCTGCCTGTCCACTAGGCCGTCGAAGAGATTGACCGATACTTCCTGTGAGCTTTGGTGTCAATCTCTGAAGTACATGTCTTCAGTCTGTCTCTATCAGCACGTTTGCAGCTGCCCACGTGCTTGCCCTTGAAATTGGCACCTACCGACGGAGTAGTGCTTCGGTTCATCTCTCGATAGATACGAGCGCCGAGCATGTGCAAGGGAAGGAGTGAGGACATGCAGGCTTTAGAACGAACTTTTGTTTATAGTGCTAGCTGCTACCCTGCGACTAGACTCTGGCAGCCATCTGGCCCTTGTCTAGACTTTTCCTGCATCAGCAGGTGGGGAGGGGTGTGTGTGATCACGCCCCGAGGCCGCGGTTCGATCATGGCCGCTTCCTTGTTTTCTGGTTGAAGAGGTTGTACTGCCAAAAGAAGAACATTAAAGGAAAAACGAGGAGCCAATGATGCTGATGATGCCGGGCATGTTTCTCAAGGCTGGCATGTCACCGTAGCCCACCCAAACATGACTACAACTACCACTGCCGCTAACACTGTCACTGCCATTGCCACCTGCGACCGCCACCACCACCACCGCCGCCGGTGTTGCTCCTTTCATTACTATTGCCAACACTGCCGACGACGACGACAACGACGACCATCGCCACTCCTGCTGCTACTGCGGGTGCTGCTACTACAACCACCACCATCACCACTAGCAAGAAGGGAAGGACTTCTGGCCGTGCGGCTGAGACCCAGATCGCCCGCAGCAAGACCCATGTCCTACATCACGTTTTGTCCCAGTCCCCCCGCTTCCTGTGCAGGCTTATGACCATGACGTTAATGTTCTTCTGCTGAGCATCATCATCTTCGAAGGTTTTAAATTGATCAGCTGTGCGTCTCACCCTTGTCATAGTTCCACCAAAGCAGGCTGATTGCCACAGCAAAACGGGCTAAGGAAAGAACATGAGCTAATCGGACTGCATGCGCAACATGTGCGACTGCCTCGTGCCAGAAATTCCGCCTATAGGGTTGATTCAAAGAAGATGGTAGATGAACAGGAGTACACGGAAGCGCATGCAGCAGCAGCATTGATCGGACAATCCTTCGTCACGCCAGACGTAGACGCTCGTAAAGTGAATCTGAACAAGCCGAAAATACGAAAATCTTCACGCCATGGCACTCGTAGCCCTACCAAGCTTGCGCACTCAGTCCCAGTCTACGGCTGCGGACCCAGAGCTCTCAGGCAGCCTCCGTCTTCAATTCAAAACTCAGAGGCCTTCCAAAGCTTTCGCTTACCCAGGCCCTAGAAGCGCAGTGCGCTTCGAGCGCTGCGCGCACGTCGCTTCCAGCGAGCCCCCAGGACAGCTCAACGGCCGTTCTTCCGATGCTGCACGCTGCATCCTTCAACACGTTTTCGTCACGTGGTTTTTGTTTCCAGGTTCTCCTGGCCCATCGCCATCTGTTCTGCCTGGCGGCTGCCTCTCTTGGCGCTGCGGCCGGGTGCTCGGTCTCTCCATTCAACCGTTGCGGGTTCGAGCTCTTCGTGAGGCCTTTGCACGCTCCCATCTGCGATGGAGCAGGCACACGTTTTTGGCCAGATTGTGTGATCTGTTTCTGCAAGGCCTACCGGCCTATCCTGCCAGGCAGGCTCGAGCAGGCCGTTCACGACGTCGGAATGTTGTTCTTCGACGGAATCAGCTTGAGGACCCCGCGAAAGCATCCTTGTTTGTTCGCGCGCTTCAGACTGGGCTTGAGGAATCCGGCATTGAGGAATCTGGGGATGCGCTGATACCTGCCATGCAGGGCGCTCGAACTGGCATTCATAGATGGAGGATGATCCTCGCGAAGTTACGACGCTGCAGGCCCATCGGGCGACTGGTGCAAAAAGGCAGCACCACAGGACTCGAGTGCCGACCCCAGTGACCTGCTTGAGCGTGTCCTCGAAGCTGAGGTTCTTGGCTCTCTAACAGCTCGTTTAATAACAGTTCCGGAACGAGCAAACGACCGTAAGGTATGATCCCTTCGACGCGCCTGAGTTCATCGAGGACGAGCATGGTGGAGGTACCTGGACAGTGGCGCTCTGCTGGAAGTACATGCAACGTCCGTCGAACGAGGCATCTTCAGCTGGATGCCCGTCACAGCAGAAGGTGGCTTAATGCCAGAGGGTGAATACGACGAGCAGTCCTTTGAGGCCAGAATAAATAGAATAAGTTGAAGAAGATTGAGAAAGCGGTGCTAGAGTCTCGAGGTTCCTGCAGATCGCCTTGAATATTTGCAGGGAGCCGGATGGCTCCAGGCAGGCTCCAGCGAGGCCAGCGCATGTCACTCCTTCAGGGAAGTGCTATGTTCTGAACGGTTGCCAGGACTACCGTGCCTACATCGTGGGCGAAGCCTGATCCTGACATTAGCAAATCCTGGCTGTCACCGTGTCACCGTTCCTTCTAGGCTGTGCTGTCTGCCTCTGTGCCAAGGTCTCCGAAGTGCACGGACGCAAATGGCAGCGCGTTGTCTTGAAGGGCCGGAAGCCACTTGGCAGCTTTCTTCCGATTCGAGAGCGGGCTGGGCGGCTGGGCTGTTAGAAAGCTTGCTTACAGTCGGCTTCCAGCTCGGAACCTCTTGCCAGGGACTCGGTGCGCGAGGGCGCCCTACGGTTGATGGCGTCACAGCTGCAAGTAATCACCGCGGACCCAGCCTAAACTGCACAGATTCCATGGCAGGATTCTGTTCAGCTCAAACTGCTTGTGCCGAGGCGTGCCCCTGTTTTTGCGTCTGCCTAATTCTGCTGTCACCAAACTTGGACTAGACTTGGCATCCATGCTTTCGAGCTGTCGTGGCTTTCTTTTTGCCCCAGCGGTAGAAGACGACCTCCGGGGAAAGGCTGGCCAAAGATCGTGGAATGGCCGTGACAGTTTTGCTGATGTCCAGAGATCGGGCACTGGCACTAGCAGCGGCCAACAAGTACAAAAAAACAACTGAATTTCGTGTTTAAGGGCGCCTTCTCTCAAGTGTGTGACCAAGGAAGGCGTGCTGAGACAACGGCCCTGGGCCGCCTCCTCGGCTGTTTTTGTGTGCGCTTTTGAGCACGGTGCTTGCTGTGATCGTGCGAGGACCAGCCTGTCGGAGAACTTCCGAGGCCGGACGACCTGAAGGACGGAGGGCTATGGCCATGGCCGCCGTGAGCTTCCTTGACTATTTCTCTGCCCCGCCTACTCTGGCATGGACGACTCTTCTGTCGCTGAGGGGCTGCTTTTCTCTTATCCGATCTGAACCTTACCTGCCGAAGAGTGTGCGCAGCTATTGCCTATATTGCCTATTGCTGTACGCATCCACTAACAGCCACAACAACTGTCGTGATTTGACACCATCCATGGCATGCCTGAAGAGCGAAAGTTGCTTTTTGGTGCAGGGTCTGGTGTTGTGACTTTCTGTAGCCTGCGGTTTCTGTCCCTCTGATGTGCAATCCTTCCTGACTACTTGCTCGTTCGACATTTCAAAAGGTGATATGGAAGTCCTCAGAACTTGGCCTCAGGAGCCGGTGTTGCTTCCAAGAGCATAGGCTCTGCCCGACGAATTCCGGTCGAACAGGAGCTTGTTGACCATTGGTGTTCTGGATCTTCCTAGCATTTGTGATACTGTGCAGGATGTGTGGGACTTCGTCACTACTCAGCTGGCGCAATCACAAAAAAGTGGACGTGCCATCGGATGCCTGCCGCAGACTGCCCTTGCCGAATTGAGAGGAATGCTCAGCTTTCTGGCTTCAACAAGCACGCGAAGCTTAAGAGACACCGAAAAGAAGCACGTGACACGCAAGGAAAGGGGAGGTCTCGATGCAACGGAGTACACCTGTGCATAAACACTTCGCACCTATCAGATGGATTGGAAGGGGAAGCATTGCAAAGTCAGTCGCGCGACTGTTGCGCATTTTCAGGGAAATCCATGCACTTTGAATCATGGTGCTGGATTGGGAGAAGGCTTGTCAGAAAAGGAGTCGAGAAGAGTGCTGATGTTCCTGGCTGGTGAGGTGTATGCATTACTTCTGCCTCAAACGTCGCAGCTGTGGCCGGCTTCCATCTCTTGCTGCCGACGTCTGAGTACCAGCCGTGTTCCAGCCACTGCCGTACACCTGAAGTGCCTGTGCCATTGCATCTCGGCGAGGATGGCTTTGACGGTGAAACTGCGAGTGAGCTCGCTGAGGCGCGGGGTAAAGCTTCTTCAAGATCAAGTTTCACAATTTCGCATCTCCCTAGGTCATGCTCCAAGCTGCGGCGGTCATGGAGCCAGCAGGTGCAGCATGCGATGCTGCTGTCAACCACGTTGAAACAGAGCCGCTCAAGAGGACCGTCCGAGGGCCTCCGAGAACCCAGCCCTGTCCGGGACCAAAGCAGATGGTATGGGTGCAAGGCAGCTGGAGCCTGCGTGGCTGTTGTTCGAGCGAGCTTCCAGGTCGCTGGATATTCGATGCCAAGCACTGGCCTCAAGCCTCCAAGAGCCTTGCTAAGCTGAGCCTGCTTCAGCTCAAGGTGCTCCAGAGCTAGACTGGCAAGCTCGGTTCTCAGACGTGTCGCGCTTCAGGCGAGGAAGTGCCACTGTCTGCAGGAGTCTGCACGAAGCTCCGATGCCAAGTCAAGAAGTCCATCCAGATCCTCTCAGCGGGTGGAGGAGCGGCAGAACGCAGCGAGAGCCGACCTTTGGGGATCCTTGGGCGAAGGATCGCGATCGTGGTGCGCCTGAAGACCAGTCGCCAGCCGAGGTTGGATCTTCATGGAATTCATGGAGCAAGGGCGAGTTAGCGGCTGGTGATAAGTGCTTGTCCCGAACCAGATGCGGCCTCCAGCTCAAGCCGATTCAGGTCCAGGCTCCATGCACCCTTGGCAGTACTCTTGGCTGGATGCTTGTGTTGCTGCATGTCGTTTTGCGCCCTTTGCTTGGCATTGGCAAGCCTTCCGAATCTTGATCCGCATGGCCGCAGACGTTTTTTTATACTGCTCGGGCAGTGCATGGGACCCAGGCGGGATAGGCCAGGCCTAGGAACTCCTTGACGTCCCTGGCACCAGAGAGTGTTGGGCCGAACGAGGCGGGTGGTGTGCGAGGGTGTGAAGCCTGTAGGACCCCGCAGCCAGTGCACGCGGGTGAGGCACTAAGCGACAGTGATGGCAGATCTCCCGCCAGGCCCGCCTTGCTGACCCCTAGGAGGACTGAGAGGGTCTGAGAGGGTCTTTCGCCACATCTCGCAGGACTTGCCTTTGATACGGCCACGAAGAAGCAGCCCTCCTCCTTGTCTGCCTTCCAAATGCTGCCTCGCAGCCTAGCTTCCTCCATGCTGTTGCCTCGAAGTCGCAGGCCTGAAATGCTCCTGTGATGTGAGGCCGCCGACGGCAGCATTGCCGGCGCCGACGCCGGAGGAGGAGGCTGCAATGCAGGGGATGATCTTTGCCAAGCTGGAGCAGGATCTCTTCGAAGCCTGTCTTTGTAGCCAGGGTACTGAAGTGAAAAACTGTAGCACTGCTTGCAACAGGACATTGCAGATGCGACGGAGGCAGTAACAGCCATGATGGCCATGACGAATCCGGCAACTGACGTGCCCGCAAAGTCTTCTTGTGGCTGGGGTGCCGCCCTCATGTGCGCTGCACCTGAGACAAGAGAAGCCGACTGTCAGCCGAAGCCGAGGCAAGAACAATGATCCTTCGAGCTTGCTCACGCGAGTGAGACGAGCGACGCTCCCTTGGCGGTCTCTGCAGTAAGTACTGGGCAATTGCTCACCGTGTTTCACCGTGCATAAAGATATTAATGTTCATGCAAGGCCTGGGCGACATGTGTCATTGGAAGTGTTGCGCCAAGAGGCGTACACCGGGTAACCTGCTTCGTCCTTTCACGAGCTTCATTGCAACGAAACAGGCACCTGCAGAGCTGAAGCAGTTCATGCAGGCATGTGCTTAGAATCTTGGAACTCCAGAAATTGGAAGCTTAACATGTTCTCTTCGTAAAACAAAGCAGGATGGAACCAGCTTTGCCATGTGGTTACGTCATCGTACAGGCCTGTTGAAGGCCAGGCTGCATGCTTCGTCGTGTGTGATTCGTAGCATCTTGGAGCAGCGGTATCAGGTGAATGGCCTTCCAGGGCAAGAAGTTGTTGTCTTTGCTGGGAAGAGCCCTTAATTGCAGCTAGTGCCTTCGGCCTCGGCTTGGCAATTCAGCCTTCGAAAAGCCAGTGCCCAGGTCTGCTAAGGAGCAGGCAGCAGAGGAAATCGGACTGGACCCTCAGGCACTCTAAAGAAAAGTAGCGGTTTGCTGCAGACGTCGGCACATGTGGGCGTGAACAGGCAGAAGAATTCAATCCGTTGTATGGGCTTGACATGTGCGAGATGGCAGATATGGCAGAGTTCCCTCCTAAGCTGATTGGGCTGGGTCGACGCTGCCGGGTTACGTTCCCAAGAAGATGTCACATCAAGTCCAACAAGCGGACAGACCGACACATTCCCAGGTACATGGCCTACGATGAGGCCTACTTACCTAGGGGACGCGTGTCGTCATGAAGTCTCTGCCTCGATTGTCTCCACTCCACCGATAGGCTTGCAATGACATGGCAGCCTTCATGACCTATTTTGAAGAAGGCACATCGGCAACATGACGATGTACGGCTACGCCCAGAGTCCTTGAGTGCAGACGAGAGCTGGAACCAGTGGGAAGGCCAAAGTGGCACAGATTTCGTGCTGCCGGACGACTTCACGGAACCGACTCTGACAGGCACGACTTGTCCTCACTAGCCTTTACGCACCGGCTCGAAGTGGCTTCATGCGTGAAGCCAAGCGGGCAGGACTCGAAGGACTCGATGAGCTTAACTCGGAGGCTGGCAGTTTGACGAAGTGCGGCAGCTTCCCAGAAATGGCGCCGAGTGGCGCAGGCGCTGTTGGAGCTCCAGGCCATCGGCCCGCCGCCCGGACTGACACTCGAGCTCGAGGCACGCGAGCGCTGCGCCCGCGGTCGAAGAAAAGTGTCGGTGCCTTTCAGGTGGACGGTCCGGCGTTTGAGGTGCCTCTTTTTCTCCGGCAAGAGCTCAGTTCTTTTCTGGTGCGGCTCGAGCCCCGTGGTGAGTCGCCAGGCCGAGCAATTGGTGAAGGCCGGAGGCCTCAACCCAAAGGCGACTTGGCTCCAGATGACTCCGCTCCACTCAGCCCGAGCTCAGCCCGAGCTCAGTCCGAGCTCCGCCAGGCTGCGGAGTTCCGTCCTACGAAGACCCTGGATTCCGAGAAGGCGGCCGCTCTGATGCCTTTTCTGCTGCATGCCTCACAGTGTACGTGAGTTCACACGCCGCACTCTGCAGATGATACGCTCGCGCCGTGGAAAGACTGGGGTGCCCGATGCAATTCCGGAGGCTACGGGGGTCGGAAGGAGGGTTGTTCCCCAAGAGCCGCGAATCTCATGCCTTCCAGGAGCCCATCACGGGCTCGTCCGAGACGGCTTCTGGTGGAGAGGCCCCGTTTCCTTCAGTCTCAAGCCGAAGCAACCTCTAAAGCCTACGTCGCCTATGTCTTGCTAAGCAATATCAAGTAGCAGGTGCAGAGATTAGCGCTGCTGGAGCCTGAGCCCTGCGCAGGATCCCGCCACTGCATACGAGGAATCCATTTCGGGCGAGGATGAGGACTAGCTTGCAAAGTATTCCTCTGCGACATGTCCTCAATGTAACTGTACAGCCTGCAGGCATGCTATCAGCAAGAAGCTCGAAACTCTCTCTCTCTCTCTCTCTCGCTCTCTCTGTCTCTGTCTCTGTGCCTGTCTCCCTCTGCCTGCCTGTCTCTTTCTGTCTGTCCTGTCTATCCTGTCTGTCCTGTCTGTCCTGACTGTCTGTCTGTCCTGACTGTCTGTCTGTCTTGTCTGTCTGTCTGTCTGTNNGTCGTCGTCGGTCTGTCGGTCTGTCGGTCTGTCGGTCCGTCGTCGTCGGTCTGTCGGTCCGTCGTCGTCGGTCTGTCGGTCGGTCTGTCTGTCTGTCTCTCTCTATCTCTCCCTCTCTGTTTTTTCTTGTGTCTAGTAACCCTTCTGTCGGCAGGATGAGATGGCTGCAGCCAAAGCTGCTGCTGTGGAGCAGTATGCCCGTGGCCCAACTACGCAGTGCAACGGATGGGTTTGGGTGTTGGAGATGTTGTGCCAGGCTGTGGCACAATCTTCTGTGAACTGATCTTCGTCTGAGCCGCTGGAGCCCAATCTCCTTGTAGCGATATCCGCTTCGAGACTCGCAGCAATCCGAGGGATTGCCATTTTTCCATGTATATACTTGGTTGCGGCGGGGTCCCGAGCTACGGTGACCATCAACAAATCACAGCGTTCACGAGAGCTTCTGCCCGAGGTTAGAGCGGCATCGCTGCTCGGCCCGTGCCTTTGATGGAAGCGTTGCTCTGTGACTCCGTGGCGAAAGCCCCCGAGGTATTTAGGCGCCTTTTCCGAACTGCCAAAACTTGGCAGGCCTGATACCGAGAAGGGAAGTTTGCCGTTATTGTGCTGAATGTTTAGACTGGAGTCTCTGCAAGACTCTGCCTGCTACTAAGTTCCGGCTGCCTTCTCCGCGGACGCTCGTCTGCAAAAGACATTGCAGAGCACATCATGGTCAGGTGCGAGAGTGTTGTCGTCCTTGCAGGCCGTTCCATTCAAGCTTGGACCGACGCTCCGACTTCGTAAAGATCTTGGCTGCCCGATGTGGTAAGCTTAAATGTTGTCCTTGCGGACACGCGTGGGGTGATTATCGTTTCATTGAAGCAGTAAAAACTTTGGCATCAGTCTGCACAGGATGCCCAGTGGGTGACCTTGGCTGTCTGACGAAGCTAAAGCATGCAGCCGGAGAACGTGAAATTCAAAGAGTTCCTCAGCGAGCCCCGGCCGAGATCGCAATATGATAAGATTACGCAAAGTTTGTACCTCGATGAAGATGATCCAATGCCAAGCTGCTTCATCTGTTGGTGAGACGATGTCGGGGGCGAATTCTTGACAGTGCCAACTTCCCGGTCCAAGCCCGGTGCTCTCTGAAGAGATTCTTAAATCTTCAGCCACTTCACAGGGCCGGGAAGTTGGCGGCTGCGAGATGGGTTCAAGTTATTGTATA